TTAGGGTTTAGGGATTATGGTTTATGGTTTAGGATTTAGGGATTAGGGTTTCGGGTTTAGGGGGGAAGCACAGCTAGAGCAAACATGTCAGTAATCGTCGGCCTCCACCATGAATGAAGCGTATCGTGGTCATCACCACCTCCGCCTTCATGTCATTGCCGCCATCATCGTCACAAGCATCATCATCATCATCATCATCCTCATCCTCATCCTCATCCTCATCATTATCACCGCCATTGTCATCTACAATCGTCCTTGGGATTCCATTCATCTGACACACTGTGATTGCGCTCTGTCTACGAGGCTGGACAGGAAACAAAACAGGATATCCTTCCTGGAAAGATGAAGAAAATACGACTTCTGCAAGCTCAAACAATGCGAAAACTCGCATGTTCAGCTCAATTCACACAACATCCATGGACGCATGTCGGGCTTCCTGTGTCTTTGAAAACACAGAACAAGTGCAATCGAAGATTCAAAGACCCTGTGCATTGAACACTTTCGCCACAGACATGGAGCATCTGCTGCTTCACAAACTAGATACCGTGCCAAATTAGAACAGCCCCTTTTGGAGACGCGCGTGCATGTGTGTGTGAGAGAGAGAGGAAGGCTGAGCCCCCTTGGACAACGATGCCTCTAAGTCTGCAGAATTGATGCTCACTCGGAGACCCTCTCGCACGAAAAGTCTCTTTCTCTCCTTTCACGACCCGTCTTAGCACTGTTTTTTTTTCTGAAGGGCGGCCACTCGTTCTGCCTCAAACCCCATTCCGCCCTGGACAACATGTGAAGGTGCTGGGATCTTGGGGTTACGGAAGTGGGATTGACGACTTAGTCGGTCGAACCGAGTAAAAGCGCAGAACCTTCTGCACTGAAAAACCTCAACAAGCGCTAGCCTCAAGGATTTCCATCGTCTAGAAGTCACCCTCAAGCCGCCCCGAAACCCCTATAGAACCCTTACAGAGCCCTACTGGGAATTTCTATAGACACCCCTGAAGGATCCGCTTTAACCCTGAGACTCCAAAACCCCTTAAGCAAGGGATTTACCTGAGGGTTCTTATCAGAGTTTTAACTAAGGAACTTACCTTAAATCATAGATTCCTTCAACGAACCCTTAATAGGAACCCTAAATTCAGGGGTTTTCGGGGTCTCTGGGAACTCGAAGCCGAAGCACCGAATCGGCGCAGCTGCCAAGCAGAAGGTCGAAGCAAAGAGCTGCTCGCCTTGGGGGGGGGGGGGGG